CCCACACCCACACCCACACCCACACCCACACCCACACCCACACCCACGCCCACACCCACACTCAAACCCACACTCTCACCCTCGCCCTCACACACCCTAAGAGAATTTATTAAATGCAAAAATAACTGATTTTGTTCTAGTATGATTATCAATTTGTACATTTATTGTTTCTTTCTACCGAACGATTATGAAAGATATGCTATCTAATTTGTCTTCTGCTTGTTATTAACATTTACATAGGAACTGATAGATTGAATTTATAACTAACAATAAAACAAAATCGCTCTACAATAAAACAATTCAAGAGCAAAGAAAGTTTTCTGGATTGTAAATGGATTTTATTTGAATTAAAAAATGTTCTGAACTTCAACAATTTTCTATTCAATAAAATCAAAATTTGTAAAGTAATTTTGACAATATATTTATAAATAATATTCTACTTACTTAATCGATTGAAAAACGACAAGCTTCGGTTATATTACTAGTTATGATCCATAAAGGAAATTTATCTAAATAGGTATCGTAATATAGAAGGCATACGTTTTCAGGATTATCCTATAATTAGAATATCATAGTTGCAAAACCAATATCTTAATACAATTCAATTCATATATATACAAATTTCATATAACGAAAAGAGTCATGATCAGAGAGAAGGAGAATTAAAATCAACTATACAAAAGATCTTGATTATCTAAAAAACAGGGTGAGTCAATACAAAATAACCAAGAAACTTAAAAGGCATAATTCAAAGACTTAATTTACTAAGAGGAGAAAGGCTGTTTTTCTAATTGCCCTTGATTGACTCCTGTTTCTTCATCATCCGATAATGAATTAAAGTTGTTTCTAACAACACTTCCTACTTTAATCATTAAATAGAATGGTAGTCATGTTTAAGATATACAAAGGCAGTTACTGTTATTTTAATAACTTAGAAGTGACAAGTACTGATTTAGTGTCTCAAAAACTCTGACCCTAATGGTATTAACCTGAAAACCAGCATTTAATCTTAATTATCTCTTACAGGTTTATTTTATAACTTATCAGAACTCAATTTTTTTCTGCCTGAGGTTCTCCTCAGGAATCGAAAAAAGTTGTCATCGTTTTATTGAAAGTTCCTATTGGTCAGTGGAACAAAGTGCGGTAATTAAGAATACTACATTTTTTTCAAAACTATTCGGGTAATGTCAAGGATTCAAACCATTTCTTAAAAGTCTTTGTCTTTTTAAGTGAGATTCGTCATAAATAGGCTAATTTTATGCAGAATTTTTTAAATTAGAATCAATAAGAATTTCGTGAATGTTTCGATCTTTTATTATCATTAAATACCGCCCCCATTGGATCCTGTTAGTATAATTAGGGATTTTTTTGCTCTTTTGAAACTAATGGGTACGGTTGCAGCAACGAGATTTCTACACTTGATATGTAATTCAGTGTTCTCTTTATCATGTGACTATTTCCGTTTGAAGTCAGCTGAGAAAAGCTGAACTATGGATTGCAATCAGCTTTTTTTCCCCTTGTAATTTTCACCTAATTTATAAAAACTAGGTTAATGAAACTATTTTTAATGCTAATGTTGTTTTTCTAAATGTAGACATGTTAATAATGAATTATGAATGCATAGGGTTGATTTGACAAATTATATAGTTTAAAGAAAAACATCATTATTAATTAATGATCAAAATAAAGAACATTTCGTGTAACATTGAAAAACATATGTTGTGTATATTAGATGAGTTATTTTATAAATAAACTTCAAAAATTCTTTCAACTTTTGAGATTATTATATTGATCAGAATTGAGCGTTTTATATGTATTGAAAAAAAACAGTAGGATGTATGAATGTCGTGATCAATTGCAAGCCTTTTTATTGATAAAAGAGACAAGAGTTTGATAAATCTACATAAAAAATTATTAACGACTAAGGACACTTCTAGGTTCTAAGTTTTTCAAAATAATGTTAAATCGAGGTTTTTTTTAATCAAGTCTGTCTAGAAACTTTATAAAATTATCAATATACTAAAACTAATTTTAACATCAATTACTATAATAGTAAATGTTATTAATTTCTAATCTTCAGATTATTATCTCACATAATAGACTTCTTATATGTTAATTAAATGTTCAAATATGATATAAAAATAAATGAATCCGTCGTTAATTTATCATTTTATTGAATGATTTCTAAATATTCATCAACGTTAATTGTTATTGATCTGAAATTTATTGTTTCAATAAATATTGAACAGATATAGATGAAGTCATGTCGCGTACAGCCAGTAGGAACTGGCTCGTAGCTAATCAGTAACACATTGATATCGTTAACACAATCTACCATTAGTTTCATATTTGGATGATTAATTTTAGCTTTGAAGTTTCGTGTTGATGGAAAACTTAATATTATCGAAGAAATATATTGTATCGAAAAAGTAGTTAGACAACATATAAATGCATCTAAAATTCATTTATTCGAAGATATTATTCAAATAATAAAAATATTTAATTTTAGTCAGAAAATCAAGTAGATACTAAACAAAAGATATTTGTTTTTAAATATCAATTTAGAGTTCAACAGTTACATACGAAATATAACTTTTTGTTTTACTCCGTAACTCATCATTGTAATAATTTTATTTCCGATTTATTCATAGATATAACCCGTCAGTTTTATTCTAATTACAGAAAAGAAGTAAAACTATTAATATATAATTAGAATGAGACTCAACAGATTTTCTTTGTGATTACACAGTATAAGTAATAAGAATACAAGTATAGATGAGAATTAATTAGTAGTTATACAAGAAGAATTTATCTCGTCTCAATACTGTATCACATTAAGTACAAATAAAAATCTTTTTTTTTATAGACACAGAACTAAAGAAATATCAACGACAGATTCGAGAAAAGTATGTTAGCAGTAATGTCATTTATATGAATTAAAGTAAGTGAGAAGAGAACGACATGGGATTTTTTATTAAGCAGATATAATTAATGTTAATGCTATCGAAATTTATCAAACTATTAATGATATATATCATTTCTAGTGGAAACATATAGACACGAAAAAAGTGAGATTTTATTTATTAAGAGACCTATCATTTAACATAAATTCTATAGATCATATAAACCTTTAAGAAAACTTTTGTTTTTGGACGATGTGTATAGTAATCAGAGAGTTTTAAAAAAACGGACATCATACTTTGACAAGGAATTTCTTTTCCAAATATAGTCTTCATTTCTTTGACTATGATATGTGAAGACCTATAATATTGTTATCCTCTGTATATTAATAATAATCATTATCTGATTACAACCCTAGACTGTTTAGTTTTAAACAAAAGCATTTAAGTTTTTCATCATAAAGGGTTATAGTTTTGATTCAAGCTCTATAGAAAAAGACTAACAGTTTATCATATGAGAAGTCGAAGAAACAGATCATTAATTCTTTTTTTGATTAGTCTAAGTGCAATTCATATTATTATAGAATATTCAACAAATCTTTCTTTAACCTTTATTCAGTTTTTGTATTCAAACGAGTATACCTTCTTTCTTTATTTAATAATTTTTAATAAATAAAAATCATTAATCTTCTACAAGGCATTTATAATCTTATCTTTCTTATTACGAATTTTATTATAAAAATTCTTTTCAAAGAATATATAGAAAACTAGCCTTTTTATATAACATGTGTATAATATTATAAATATTTTCGTAAAGATATAATAGGCGACAGTCAATTATTGTATGAATGAGAAAGAAAAATATACATAGACTAACAATATATTAGAAAACTCTCTGGTTAAAACATAAAAACCATCATAAGTCTTATCTCAGACATTTAGAGATCTAATTATGTGTTTATATTTTATTTCAAATCATAATCAAACAAATTTATACAAGCAGAAAGTAATTGTCATGTGACTAATAAAAATAGTAACTTTAATTAGTTTTTATTATAGACTAGATTTTTTTCATAATGATGCTCTAAAATAGTAAAAACATGTGATTTATTGTTGAGAAAAAGAATCTTTTATACTCTCTCACCGTAACGTATGATACATATCTCAGTTTATATTAACTCTAAAGGTAAAAGTATTCTATTATCTTGAAGTTTCGATCCAAATCATTTCGACAGTATAGATAAAGAAAAAATAGTGAAACTAATAAATTTTCAACAAATAATTGTTTCTATTCGAGGTATTTCATTATTTTATTTTTAATCTCGGTTGACAAAAAACACTGATTTTTCTTAATAAGAGATAATCCAACTATTGCAATTTAATAATGCTTTAAATAGAATTAAATTTGTTTCTACGTATAAAACTTTGCTTTATAAATACTTAGTGTTTGTTCAAGCATTTTACTTATTTTTTTAGAAATATTTACCCATTTTATTATTTGAATTTAATACAAGCGTCTATTATGAATAGTGGTCAAACAAAAATCAATGGTTTTATTCTTAGTTTGGTTTCTCTTGGCTGTAATACATTTGCATGTTTAATATCATGCATAGTTTTTCTTATTATTCTATATCATCTTTATTATAATCATGTCAAACGTAAAGACAAAATAACTATTGTTCTTTGTGGTCATATCTATTTGGAAAGTTTAATATATTCATCAATGTTAATATCAATTAGTGTTCGATCAATTCTGGGTGATTTATATAATCAATCTTTTGATTCATCATGGTGTATTTTTTCAGGATACTTAGCTATGATATTGCTTGGTATGTTATACTTCAATTTTCTAAATCAGGTAATTCAAAATAATAGAAATTAGAAAATTTATATATTGTTTTTTGGATAATTTTAGGCATTTTATCGTCTTATTCGAATTGCTTATTTTCAAAATAAACGGCTTCAATCTGTAAAATTATATGTAATTTTACCATTTATAGAAATAATAATCCTAACATGTATTCTTCTATGTATTCTTATACCTTTGAATGGTGTAACATATTTACCAAATGATCACTTTTGTTATCCATCATTCACAAATATTCCTAGTATTCTTTCAGTAGCAGTTGTCGTTTATATAGGTCCATTTTGTTGTATATCATTTATTTATATCCATATAACAAGATTTATTAATCGACAAGGAAATATTCAAACATTAATAGTAAAACAACGACAATCTCGAGATTTACTTATTACTCGACGTATTTTAACAATTGTTAGTTTATTACTTATTCTTGGAATACCTGCAATGACGCTTATATTTATGTTTATAATAACAGGTGAAGCAAATCCATTAATTCTTCGAATTGCATTTTTGCCAGTTAGCGCATCCCAAACAGGATTGAGTGTAGCATTACTTTTTTGTATTCCACAGCTAAAAAATATTGTTCTAAACTTACGAAAACCACGCACACTGATGCCTACCAATCAAACCATGCTAGGGACAGTACAAGTGAAAACAATTGTTGGTACTCAATAATTTTACATTGTTTACAGTTTCTTGTTTTTATGTAATTATGCAAGTGAAGTTGTTCTTGTTTATTTATGAATGTGAAATTATTTTATTGATTATTATTGTTTTAAGTATTGTTCACAGTGAAATCGATATATTTTGTTATTTATTTTTGTTTAGTAATGTGTAAAAATAAATAAAGTTTCAATATTAATTGAACTAAGTTATCAAATGTAATGATTTTAATAAAACAAAAAAGAATAAATTTCTAGGCTAGAATAATATCAATGAATGATGATTATGTTTAATATTAAATGTGTTCTTGAGTCAAATTTTTCCTTTATATCAAAAGACTTAACCTTCTGAGATTTGTATATAATTATTATAAATAGTCATTTAATAATCTAAATATTATCAACAAAAGATCCAGTAATGAGAATTACTCATTTTTTTAAATTTATGTGATAGAATTAAAAACCTGAAAAATGAATCCAAATATTTTATATTGTGAAATACAAACTAAAAGAAATGTTGAAGTGCATAGAGGGAAAAAACTTGAATCCATTTTCTCGTTTCCCACAGATTCGGAAAATATGTTAGCAGCGGCACATCATAGACATGCGAGGCATAGCATCACAAATGGATGAATTCAGGTTAATGTTTCTTCTCATATTTATTCGAAGAAATGCATAATAATTTGATATTTATTGAGAATAAAATAATTAACATCAGACTAAGAAAAGAACATATTCGAATGTATCCATATAAAGACAGATTTAAACCATTCTATGATACAGTGTCACTCTCTCATATAAATACCTGAGCTGCCCTCATTTAGATTCGTAAGAAGAAAAAATAAACCTTTTTTAGTTATGAACCTATTCCACCAATGTGTATATTATGAAGTTTTTCTATTTTCTTTTCTTTAACTTATACATAATTATATATATATGTGTGTGAATACGGATAAGTACGATTTAAAGTATTATACTCATCTCCCACCCATTCATTGTTAGAGTCTATTGATGTCAAAGAAGTTATAGGACATGCGGTAGCAGTTTTTAAAAAGCATTCTTTATTACGATAATCACATATGTGCGAATGTTAAATAACTTTATAAATATTACATACAAACAACAGAATTCAAATAAAATAAATAGTAATTTTTTCGAAATCTTCATCACTGTTATTTGCGAAAAATTGTCCCTGTGCTGATTACAGATGACCATCTTCGACTAAGTTTTCTTACGGGACTTGGTTTGTTAGTCTTTGGTGGAGTACCTTTGTAAACAACCACTTTGGTTAAATTACGTTTGATTACATCAACTCGATTTCTGTTCCATATATAATTGACACGTTTGTATATACTGTTAAATATGGGGAGAAGAAGTAGTTTAATGACAAGAAATAATAAACCAAATAGTTCTAAAACCACGATTGTAAATAGAAAATTATGAAAAATAATTTCTGTTTGTCGAGCAATCGGTTCTTGTACATTACTAACGTAGAATATTGATTCAGCAATATTGATAGTTATATTTGTAAATGTTCGTTTAAATAAAGTATATCGAGTTTCCTCAGAAAATAATTCGTCTGTATCAACAATAAACGAAGATGACCAAATGGCACTGTAAATATCAGAACCACCATTATCCAACGGAGCGGTTCGATTAATAATTTGAGTCAATTGAAGAGAAAAAAGTGTAGATGAGGCAAGAACTTGATCGAGCGAAGAAGAAATAAATGTTGATGCAAAATTCAGCTCCATAAGTGTATACCTTAAAAAGTAATCAAAATAGTTTATGTATATATATTTCTGATACAAAAACTATGTATTAAAAAATTTTTTACCTTCTATCTGCGCTAACAGCGGATGATCCATTTAATCCAAGACGAATTGCACCAATAGTTTTTACTCCTGGTAAGATTAATTGAACATTGACACTGTGAGACGGTAATAGAACAGCTAACGAAAGAATACTATCATTGTGAGTAGTCTGACAACTCAATATAGTTAAATTTTTGAATGTATAACCGACGGAACGTTGTACCATGAGCGAATCATTACAAGTGATTGCTGTTTGAATAAAATCAATATTGAGAGTAAATGATTGTGAACTAAGCATATCAAATACTACTTGAATATCTTTGGAACTACGTGTATTGGGTATGATTTGTGTTGTTGTACTAAACTTTGCATTGTTTATTGCGACATCACAGGCAAATGAACTGTCGCCTTTGACAAGTTCAATTGGATATCGATGCAAATATTGACTGGAGAAAACGTAAGCTGTAACGATAAGAACAACGACAGCAGCTGACACAAGACCACCAATCCATAACTGAAACATGAAGAAAAAGCAATTTTATCAAGAAAACATTTATCAATGATAGTCAGCTATATTTTAAACATTCAAAATTTATGTGTCTTCATTAAAGAGTTTGCTCTATTTTAGAAATTCTTTTATATATATTGTCTCTATGTTTTTGCCAATCAATTAAATAAAACAATTATTTACTTGCCCTTCGCCGATAAGATCTACTTTTCTTAATATATGTTTAGTCCAATCACGTATTCTGTGTGAAGTTGGTCCAAAAGTTTCATGAATAGTCATACCAATGGCTATGATAATCCCAAATGTAATTACTACAAATACCCAAGTTATAGGTGAAACGAGAATACAATGCGTTGATCGTGTATCGAAACTAAACATATTCTGCAT